TGGTAACCATGCGCGGGAAGTCTTCTTCGCTGCTTTTGTGGCAGACTACAGCGCCACTTACTTAATATAACGTCAGTTTAATAGATAGATAGATAGATAGTACTTTATTGATCCCAAATTGGGAAATTGTTGTTGTTACAGCAGCATAAAAGGCATTTTACAATAAAACAAAACTACAAAATATACAAGAATAGAAATAAAAATAAAATAAAATATAAAATATACATGTCGAAATAGAAAATATACATGCAGATATTATATATATATATATATATATACAAATATATATATATATTCAAAATATATGGAATAATAATATGCTCGTGAAATGCAACAACTTTTCGGTTTCACCGATAGGATTTCTACGGTCGTGGTGATGCTGACTCATATGACTCAAATGACTCGTATGATCCGGATCTCTTCAATGACTGACTCAGAAGACCCTGAGTCCGTAAAAGGATCCGGATTTGCCATCTCTACTGTGCACCCAGCTGATGGTGCGAGCGCTGAGGCTCCTGGGAGTGGGTGGAGTTTATGGTGCTGGCTGCAGACTGTGTGGGGTCAGCTGTCGTCACAGGGTCTTCAGTCGGAGAAGTTAAAACGGAACCAAACTCTGCCTCCTCTTCATCCACTTCATCTTCCTTCTCTGCTCCCTCGCACTCTGACGCTGGACCAAAGTGGGTCTGCAGCTCTGTCAAAGGCATGTGTGGTACTGTAAATGCAGTCATTGTAATATTATATGAAGACAGAAAGTGATGAGATGTGATATTCTGAATATGTCCACTAGGTAGCAGCAGAGGCTCAGGCCAGGCTTCTGACCTGGTATGAGGATGGTTATTGCAGCCTGCACCGATCGGCGGATGATGTTATACATGGCAAACAGCCAGTGGGGTTAAATGTGATGGTTCCTTAGGACTTTGTTAACCTGAGAACATCACACACAAACAATCAAGAGTCAAATGATCCATAATCGTATTAAACAACATTTAGAGAAATCTGATGTAAAATATATGTATCGATGTTTAGAAGGAATTGTGTAATAGGTGAGGACGTAGGTCCCTTTTCATGATTATTTTGGATTAACTGCATCATCAAGGTTCATAGGAAGTGCTGGTTTCATATTATTACATTGAAAAAAAGAAAATGTTACATTAGTTTTCTGTATTTGATAAACAACATTTATAACAGTGTTTAAACCATTTAAGCCCCATGCCCCCGGTACCGGGGGCAAAATGCAACAAACAGCGTCTGAGGGCTTCTTAACATTTAACAAACTATGAATGTGTCATACCCACTTAACGGGAAGAAACTGAGCTATCAGACAATATTAACCATTTTTAGCTAAACGCAACACAAGGGTCATACCAAGCCTCTGAATTAGCCCTGAGCGAAAAAATGCTAACGCACTTAGCACAGAACTCACGGTAGAGATACCTTATTACTTATCGGATCTGCACAAATAAGATATCAGCTAGAAAGCTGAGATTCCACAGATTCAAGGGGTATAAGTATCATCACTGAGCGACCAAAACTCGCGGCAGGGGAAGCAAACCCAGACAACACACAACGTAGCTTTACGGGACCAAAACGGAAAATAAGTCTTACTGTTGCTGTTTTCTGATCAAAAGTTGTGTTCAATGGCATTAAAACAAATTGCTGCTGCTGAAGGTTAATCCAATGTGTCTGTGTCACTTTGAAATGATTACTGATAATCCATCTTCATATTTATGTCAATAACGGAGATTTCATATTAGCTGCTACAAGAGTGTATGACAGCTTCCGGTTTTGGGCATTCTGGCTACGCATCACTCATTCACCAATAGGTAATGTTTAGATGGATTTTAGGAACTTCCCCTCGATTCTATTGGCTCTAACGGTTAAAAAGAGGTGTCAATCATCAAAATCAACCGAGGGGGGCCAGAGATATGGAAAATGCACCCAAATGACCCCGGAAGTGGTTATTTTTTTCAAAATCTCTCTAAAAAGGTCAAATGTCACTTGTTTTGCATCAATCTTGATACAGGGTACTTATTATATGTTATAGTTTGGATTCATAAAGCTTTTAGTCTCCGATCCCATCATTCAAGGGTGGTTTTTACTATAAGTAATGTTTTTAGTTTGGACGGACACTATAATTTACATTTTTTTACTATGTTCAATCTGAATTTACTTTAAAATAAAAAAAATCTATATTGATTCTGACTTTTCTTCATCCAACTCACAGGTTTATCATTGCTTTGAGAAAAAAGATTATAAAATTACCTCTCTAAGTGAAGATATAGTCGTTTGTTTTGGGAATGTCATTTTCGAGCCTGAGACCTGAAAAACAGGCTCTGGGCTTAACTGGTTAAATTATTTGCAAAAAAATACAATATTTTATTTTTTTCATGTGGTCAAATAAAAGATGTTGTTAAAAGTGATCTTATGTTTTAGATTAATAATGGTATCTTCATAAATGAAGTTGATGGGCTTATTTTTCCTGAATATAAAATATATCTGAGATAATTTATTTAATCATACTATATCAGTGATAACTGTATGAGCTTGTATTTCAGATGTGAATGTGTGTGCTGCGTACCGAGTCCTGGAAGCCAAAGAGCACCAGTTGGATCTGGTTGATGGAGGTGGAGTCGAAGTCCAGGTCCAGCTTGAGCTTGGAGATGGTGGCCGCCATGACACGCCTCTCTGGGGAATGGATGAAGTCTCGAAGGATGCATATGATCCGCTTTATGTGTTCCACGGACAGCTGGAGCTCCTCGCTGCCCTACACAAATATGTAAATACATACACATGACACACTTATTAACACAGAAAAATACAAGTCTTTTAGTGTGTATGGGTCAGATTGTTGCAACTTAATCGGTTTACACCTTTTCAGGATTACTGTTTGAAGTTGTGTTTTTATGCTGCTTTACACTGCCTTGTCAAACTTTAATCAGAATCAGAAACAGTTTTATTGTAGGTTAACACATACGAGGAATTTGTCTTGGTGTACATGGTGCATACATAAACACAGTTAAAAAAAGATATAATAAAAACAGTTGAAACTATTATACATTAATAAAAGAATTATTTTATAGAGTTATACTAAATAATTAGCTTAATTGAGAAATTAACACCAGAAAAAAGCTCATATAGTTTTATTAAATAGCACCTTTTCTATTTGTTTGACAGCTGTCTAAGAGAATAATATTGGTCAAAAATGCAGAGCTAAATACTCCCTCAAACTTGCTTCATCATTTGCAATAAAATATAATTTGAAACGTTTCCATACCACATCCTTTATCAGGTTATTTAAATATCCAAATAACCCAATCAAGGTTTGTGTACCGGAACATTGATAATAATCTCTGACTGCAAGTTACAGTATGAAGTGTGCGAGAGTCTTTTGTTCTGCTTTTTTTAAATTTCAAACACCATGTTTTCCATGAACACTGTCATAATCTTAAACCTAAACCAAGTCTGAAACTTTGAAACAATAAAAAATAATTGCTTTTGATTCATCTTTTTCTGAAATGAAATTTTACAAATGTCTGATATGTTACTGACATAACATTTTTATTAAAAGATTATTACAATAAATTAGTAATGAAAAAATCCATCCGTCTGTTTCCTCTGTGTAGTTTCCGCCTGTTTGATGAGCAGAAGGACGTGCTGGTTCTGGAGTTTCTGGAGGATATTCCCACCTCTCAGCTGTCTGCTTACCACCGCATAAGGAAGCTGCTGAAGAGGCAGACCTACTTGAGCTGGCCTCAAGCTGAGGAGCATCCCGAGCTGTTCTGGGTGAAGCTCTGCAAGGCTCTGAAGAACAGAGAAGATATCAACGAGGACAGATTACTCCTCACTGTGGGGGACAGACCATGATGGAAAGGAAATACAATCCTCTTTATGTGAGATTTGGAGTCGTATTGGAATTTGTTGGTTTGTTCAAAAATGTAACAAAGTATACCTGAAGGAGGTTTCTGGGATTACATTACCTACCAACTACTGTAGATCAGCTGCTCTTACAGGTTTAACTGAAATGGAAATTAATTTCAATAGTTTCCATACACACAAACTGGAAGACCGAGTTATGACTAGGTATGAGTGAAATTAGTTTTTTCCATAAGCAGGTGAGCCCTACCTTTCACTTCTAGAATGGGGCAGTGAACAGATAGTCATGATTATGATAATCTTTTAGGATGCCACAGTTTGATTTCACTCTTTGACAGTTTTCCGCAACACTTGGAAAACTGTCTCTTGTAAAAATGTATATATTGAATTTAAACCTTTATTTTAACTTCTTTGATTTTATCTTAAAAGCAGTTAGCACGAAATGAGCTCTCTACTTTTCTATGTTTTTGTTCATCCCATAACGCTTAAAAATGCATGTTTTACAGTCAAGCTTTATTCAAACCTACAGCACTTTACTCCTCCCAAAGTTTCAAGAGATACAAAAACTGTAGACTTCAAATTATGGGAAATGTTAAAGGTCCCCTAATATACTGTTTTTCATCAATATATTATATGTCTCAGATATATTCAAAACATGTCTCTGAAGTGTTTTGCTCGAAATACCAAACACATCATGCATCCCATAAACCCCTCTGTTTCAGCCCTGTTTCAAAAGTGCTGATTCTCTGTCTTTTACTTTAGATGAAGATACGATTCGATTAGATGAGATCCAGGTGATAAGGTGGGCGGGTGTTACCTTGGTTGGTTATTGGCTAATGATTACACAAGCCAAACAATCATGACATCATAAAGTGGCCAAAAACTGATCTACTCATTTTCAGACAGAATTTTTCAGAATCTCTTTACACAGAGGGGACACATGTTTGTGTATAAAATACATGAAAAAGTGGATTTTGCATAATAAGTGACCTTTAATTGTGCGAAACACTAGGATATTGTTGAATTAAATATCAATGAAAAGCTAGAACAATGTGTAGAACAAATATGATACAATCAAACAGTGTGGAATAAGATGATTTTAAAGCTATTCTATTAAAAAAAAATTAAAATCTTATATTTCAAATGGGTTTTTATCGTTTATGCCTATTTACTTTATTAATTATCAGAAAACTGATTTTTCAACTCTATTCTCTTGTCGTTGTGATTTATCTACTGTTATATTATGTCTACTGTATTGTGCTCCTCTTGATTCTTTGCACCCTATTTGAAATTCTGACCTTTGGTTTACGCATTTAACACTGTAAACTAGGATAACATTTAGAATGTGCAGCAGATATAATAATTGTTTTTATTAAAAAGGGTGGTATGTAACATGTGGATATGCTGAATGTTATGAAACTCAGACAAATGCATTATTAAACATCTCTGTTTTTATTAATCCTTTAACAATATAAATTACAATTCAAACTTTTACTCTCAATTCCTCTTTACTAAAATGTCTTTACAAAAATATACTTCTCCAATGATGCTCTGCACCTTCAGTGTACAATTTACTACCTGTTTATAAAACACACAATCTTATATAATAAGATGTAATATAATAATTTAACAAAATGACATGATAATCCCTATCAGGGTACTTCGGTGTACGAAGGCTTTTAAATATTAGTTATATCCTTCATACAGTAACTTCCGTATACAGCTCATGTGTCGTGGCCTCAGGTTCGGTTTGCTATTATCTTACGGTTCTTCTTCCTCCTTTCACTGCAGAGAAGAATGAAAACACAATATTATTTTAGTTCAATATTCGGTAAGAGAACTTATTGAAGTTAGAGACAAATGAGTATACTCACTCCACACATTTCATCTCTCTCTGAGTACGGATGCTTGAAGGGTCAGCACACACGAACCTTCCTGGGAGGTGGAATCTGTGAAAAAAAGTGAAGACTTCATCAAACACGAGACGCATGAATGCAGTTCACCAGAAAAACAGGTCCTTTCCAGGTTGTGTATTAACCTGTTAGTGTCTCTATACTCTACATATTGCAACAGTTACATATTGGGGTGAATCCTGCAGCACATAATGATTGATTGTGAGTCATCTAACTGGACTGGAAAGACAAGCGAGAAGTCGGTGCACTTGGGATTCACAAGCTAACCCGCTAATGCTTTGTTAAGTCACGTCTGGGGCCTGCCCTCTAATGTGTGACCTTAAATAACCAGGATGTATTAGCTTAAACTGTTTTACTCTCTTATGTCTTCAATAAAGCACATTTTGAACAAGGTCAAAAATCTTAACACATACTGTTAGGTTGTTTAGTGGTCAAAATAATTAATAAAGAAAGCTAAATCAATGACCATGTGAACTGCAGTTTGAATGTAAGATACATTGCTCTTCTGACAGAAGGATATGTTTAATGAAAAAAAGGAATACACAAGATATTCAAGATATAAGATATACCATTTAAAATGCCACTCTCCAGAGTGTTTGCTTGTTTATATCTTCCTAACATCTCCTTTTATAAAAAATGTCAGACACCCAAACTTGTTTATCTTAGGTCCACTGTCACTATTTCTAAGTAGGGCCACAATGATTTGTCAATTAACTGATTATCAGATGAAATAAAAAATACTTTTTGGTCATAAAGCAAACAAGCCAACCATTAACTACTCAAGAAAGCAATTAAGTATGTTACGTTATTTGACACATCACCTTGGTATGTAGTATAATGTCATGGATAATTCAATTTAGAAACATGTCTGCAGATTAATTAATAATAATATTTATTGTTTATTTAAGTGCAATTGCACCTTTTGTCCATAACATTATTTTTGTAATATCCATGTGAGACTGTTGTCACTGACTTGCTCCCTGTTCTGCTGTTACTACTGAAGTGCAGAATTGTAGTCTGAAAAGAGATTTAATCATTTACTCACATAATAGCGTTGATGTCACAGGAAGTTTTAATCGTCTGGACGGTGTAGTCGAGCAGCCGTTGGCATGGCAATCGACGACTGGTGTACCTCAGGCAGCAGCTCGCTGCAAACACATAGTGAACAAAAATACATTATAAACATTTTTGAAGTTAAATAATTAGCTTTTTAACCTTGATTTTACCCTGAAACATACAATGGTAAATCTGCCTGTTTTCTGAGCTTTAGGATTTGCAGGTACTTCATGTAACACAAGCTAAATCAATTACAGGACTTGTTTCCTTATCCTTTTATAAATGCATCTACACTTGCCAGAGATGACACAAAAAAAACTTCACATGTATTATCTGTAGCTTGATCTGTAGAACTCACCTGACTGTGTGCTGCCGATAAAGGTTGACAGGATGACCAGGGAGCACAGAGTTGCCAGGAAACATACTTTACCGCTTGCCATGGTTTATAGTTGGAGTGCTTATTCGGGTAGTGCTTTTAGAGCCTGTGTAAAATGCCTGGAGGAATCCAGTGAAAGTGTGACTGAGTCTTCACGCCTCACTCCTTTTAACTAGTGTAGGACGTGTCTGGGATTTTCCCGTGCTCTGCAGGATTGTGCAATGCCATGCCATTGTTAAGAATGTGGAAATGAGCCAGGCAACGGAGCAAGGTTAAATATTGAACAGAAGCCAGCATGAGTAACCTAGATTAAAACTTGTAAAGATTTATGAGTGTTGTTAGAAGCCCTAGCTCCAAAAGTTGCATAATCGTAGTTTAGTTGGCATTACTCACATTAATTAGGCCTCTTTGACACTTTTACGTTTTATTAGGAAATGTACTGTGTAATTGTAATGTAAATAATTATAATGTAAAAGGAGCCTTTGCAAAAGTGATCATCGGATTTAATTAACTAAAATAAATAAAAGAGTGGTATCTGAGAGAAAGAGAACCTCAAGATAACTCTGACATTACTGTGTGTTTATGGAAACACAATCTAGGGAAAATCCAGGGAGTTAACCTGTTAAGCCCCAAGCCTGTTTTTCAGGTCTCAGGCTCGAAAATGACATTCCCAGAACAAATGTACTTCTGAAAGGGGTACATTTATAATCTTTTTTCTCAAAGCAATGATAAACCTGTGAGTTGGATGTAGAAAAGTCAGAATCAATACAGAATATTTTTTTTAATTCAGATTGAACATAGTAAAAAAATGTAAATTATAGCGTCCGTTCAAAAAAGAATTATAGTGAAAACCACCCTTGAATGATGGGATAGTAGACTAAAAGCTTTAGGAATCCAAACTATAGCATATAATAAGTACCCTGTATCAAGATTGATGCAAAACAAGTGACATTTGATATTTTTAGAGAGGTTTAGCAAAAAAAACACTTCCGGGGTCATTTGGGTGTATTTGCCATATCTCTGGAACCCATCGGTCGATTTTGATGATTGACACCTGTTTTGAACCGTTAGAGCCAAAAGAATCGAGGCGAAGTTCCTAAAATCCATCTAAACATTACCATTGGTGAATAGAGTGATGCACAGTCAGAATGCCCAAAACCGGAAGCTGGGTTGTAGCTCTCACACACTTTTTGACAAAAATGGAATGATGGATTATCAGTAATCATTTCAAAGTGACACAGACACATTGGATTAACTGTCAGCAGCATTTTCATCATTTTAATGCCATTGAACACAACTTTCTATCAGAAAACAGCAAAGATAAGACGTATTTGCCGTTTTGGCTCCGTAAAGCTACGTTGTGTGTTGTCTGGTTTTGCCTTTGCTGCCCTGGGTTTTTCACAGTGATGAAACTTATACCTCTGGAATATGTGGAATCTCAGCTTTAATTTGATATCTTGTTTGTGCAGATCCGATAATTAATACAATATTTCTACCGTGAGTTCTGTGCTACTGTCCGGGGGCTTGGACTGTGAGCCGTAGGGTCGCCGATTCAAGTCCCCGAACAGACCTAAATATGGAGTATGGACTGCTACTTGGAGAGGTCCCAGTTCACCTCCTGGGCCCTGCCGTGGTGCCCTTGAGCAAGGCACCGGACAACCCCCTTCCCCCCCCACTCCCATTGCTCCCCGGGCGCTGTACAATAGCTGCCCACTGCTCCTAGTACTAGACTCCTGGTACTGGGTTAAATGCAGAGGCCAAATGTCACTGTGTACTGTGTGCTCTACATGTGACCATTAAAGAGGGGTTTCATCCCTCCGATTCTATTCTATTCTAAGTGCGTTAGCATTTTTTCGCTCAGTGCTAATTCAGAGGCTTGGTATTACCCTTGTGTTTCGTTTAGCTAAAAATGGTTCATGTCGTCAGTTAGCTGAGTTTCTTCCCGTTAAGTGGGTATGACACATTAATAGGTTGTTAAATGTTAAGAAGCCCTGAGACACAGTCGGGGGCTATGGGGCTTAACAGGTTAAGGGACTGTTAAAATGACCCTTCGACATTTGAATGGTAAGAGAGGTGATAAGAATGTATAAAAAGTGAGGAAGTACAATCCAGCAACATGTGGTTTAGATAGGCCTTTTTAGAGGTTAAAAAGACATTCAGAGACAGTTTGTTGAGTTTAAAGTCCCACGGGTAGCTCTTCAGTTGTTCATTTGTCTGATGTGTGAAGTGGCTTTCCATTGGCTGTTTGGGATTATGTGTTTCATGCATTTACAAGCACCAAGCAAACAAGGGGCACAACAATATTTTGTTTTGAGAGTAAATGGAATTTCAGGGGGGATTGGAAGTTGAGAACTGATGAATGGATGTGAGTGTAAAGTGTAATGGAGAATAAGGGATGTTGTCTGTTAAGCTATTCCAGAGGACGTACTGAAGTCCAGGCAGGGCTCAGTCTGAGGGTTTTATCTAAGATGTGTTTTTCCCAAAACTCAATATATGCCTAGACCAGGGATGTCCAAACCTTTTTCACCGAGGGCTACATACAGAAAAATATAGCAAGGGCTGGGCCACTCGCTAAAGGTGAGGTATATTGCCTCATAAGTTAAGTTATAAGTCAGCCAAATTAATCAAATGTAGGTCAATTATGCTTGATACTTGAAAATGCCTTTAGAAAAAAACAGCCTAGATCACAGCTCTCCATAGGGTTTCATTTATTTTGTTGGCAGCTCATCCCTCAGTTTGCTTATAAGGGGAAATATGAAGGGTATATTTCAAGCTTGTTAGGTATATAAGTTATTGGGCCTTTTTTTTTAATCGAAAGTAGTATTCATGTGTTAGAAAATGTTTCCAACTTTAATTGACTGAATTTATTTGAAAAGTGGGCTTATTAACACATGAATACTACTGTGTAATATATATTTACATATATATTTAAGAAGTACAATATAAGACAAGCACAAGTTTCATTTTTGGGCCGTATTACATTATATTTTTAGAATTTGCTGAGGGCCGATTCAAAATGGTCCGCGTGCCGCATTTGGCCCCCTTGCCGTAGTTTGGACACCCCTGGCCTAGACTGTCTTTGAGATATTTTCCTTCAATCAACAACATCACCAATTAACATTAATTGAACATCCACACAAAAAGTGGCTCAATGTATTTTAAGTGATGCATTTTTACAATGAGGGAGCCAGTTGGACGTGGGTGCGACATGTTTTTATAGACAATTTATCCCAAACGTAATGATGACTATTCAAGCCCTTATCAGTCAACCTTAAAACATAACTACATCGTTTTTGTTTTTGTGTTTTAAAAACACAAAATCGATGTAGGTTCTCAGCTACATTTCCATGCATTTCCATATTTTACAGTTAAACACTTAGGGGCCTGTCTTACACCTCTCTCTTGCTAGTTTAAGACCAACTTTTCTGACTGACTCAGTTGTCATTTACACGGTTAGTGCTTATGTTTGGTAAGTAGCCAATACAATTGAGCTCAGTTTTTTGCCCATTGCTCTGTGGGTCTTAAAAAGAGGTGTGACCAGGCCCTATTTGAAGCAGGATGGAAAGAGGTGTTCCTGGTCCAGATTAAACTATACCATGGTACGCTTAGTTTCCAGCATTACATGACAAGGGGGTATCTAATTGACACTGTATGCATCACATAAGCTCATTATAAATCTAACTGATGCTTCATTATTTCCTAGCAGTACCTTTTCTGGAGGCCTTGTATAGCAGGTTTTACAAAACAAAATTCTAATTGACAAATAATTATACCATCATAATGTTTATTGAGGAGCTGAAGTGATGTGACCATTACCATTAGAAATATGTGATATTTCATCATAATACGAAGGGTTAGGGACATTCTTCATGAACTGTTATCAGAAGGAATTCAGAGACTGCTCATGCTTTTGCTTAAACCTTATGTTTTGGCACCAAAAAATACTTTTTTTGATACCTTACTTTGACAAATTCAAAAACAGTTTGAGTGATAAATTAAACCAGTAAACGTTGTACCAAAACTTCCTAAAAGCTGTTTATGTAAAGTATATTTAAAAATAATTTTGCACAAATGCATTTAATTTGCTCTATAATGCACCAAACTCTGTGTCATTTAATACTAAGTTACTGATATATATTGAATTAATCAATTACTATAAAATCAACGCCTCATGTCTGAAGCATTTAAACAGTTTGTCCAATGTTCCCATTGGCCTGGAAGCTTGTGTATGCTATTGCTTCAGAATTAATTAAAAAAAAACTGGTACAGCCTGCAGATTTTGAAACCTATTTTGAAACCACCGCCACAGGAGCTAAAACTAGCATACTGTATGTGCTAAGAATAGAAACAGGTTATGACAGTTGGATTGTCGAGGACTTTGAACTGTGTTTACAATGTTGACATGTGAGCTGGTATTTCCCCGGCCGTTTCCTTATGAGGATTATAGTGTTGTAATGTGACAGATATAAAACTTAACCTTAGTTCACCTCATTGGTCCATATAATCATTTTGAGGTTTGCAATTAGCCTACAGTATGTATACAGATAGAAAAAAGTCTATCAACCTTCTCAAGCAATTAATAATTATACTTGAATAAATTCCTGACTAGATCACATTTTGCAGCCTTAACGTTTTAATGCAACCTTATCTGTGTTTGTAGCAGCTTCAAAGTCAAAGTCAACTTTATTGTCAATCTTCTGTGTTTTAAATACAGATAGGGAGACAGAAATGATGTTTCTAACAATCATAAAAAAAATTAAATAAAGATATATACATATATCTAGATATACATACATACAGTCCTGTGCACTCACAATGGGTGTGGGGGCTCCTGCTCTCTTCAGTGTGCGGATGAAGTTTGCACAATGAGTGACATTCTGGAATGCCCTTTTACTGAAGGTCACATTACACACAAGACAACACCAGTAAGAATAACTAATAAAGCATAACAACTTTAGAGAACATTATAATAATTCATATTAATTAATAAAAAAGTTAAAAAAACGTACTTTCCCGAGTGCTCAAAGTGCGTTACATTACATATTACATATATCAGACATGTAATACATAAAATCTGTGGACAATACCCACAGGTGCCCAAGGACACAACGGCATGTTGACTGC